TAAGCTGCCTAAAGCTGTACTGTCAGTCTGCCTGACCTCAGTGCTCGATGCCCCTCTCAGGTACTTGTACAACAGGAACAATATACCAGGATCCTCGCTCTTTCTTTCAGAGATTTTTGAACACAGTCCAAGAGGTAGTATTAAAGGATTTGAATGGCTTCATCTTGGGAAGGCATGGTAGCCACTTTGAAGTATGTAAAAGACTGCAGTGAGGAAAGGACTCATATTTCTCTGAATCCACTGGGGTAAGGACTAATACCTTAGACTGCTGCAAGGGAGTGCCACATTATGCATGAAATACTCTGAATTAATAACAAGTAGCTGAATGGATTGCCTGGAGGTGGTGGAGGATCTCCATCACCTGATATCTGAGGACTTTATCAGACTTTTGTCTGCAAAGGACAAGTAAACCTGAAGCAAGAGTATGGAAAATTGGGAAAAATGATTGAGTTTGCCTCTGAAAGTAATTTCTCACTATGAGTAGAAGCTTAGCATTAGATTTGTGTTTATGGACGATCAGGTCCTGACAACCTATGTCATATAACCCAGAACTGAATGAGGAAAGGGCTGAGCATTCTTTTGCTCTCAGTATTCATGCCTCCACCTAGGAAGATTTGAAGCCTATCAGCATACAGGCATGCAGCTCAGCCATGCTGTATTTATTTTATTGCTAAACTGAAGACATTAGGCAGCCCCTGTTACTTTTCCTGGCCATTCAGCTTTACCTCATCAAACAGGAAGCCTCTCCAGACATTGTGAGTGTTCAAATTTTGAAGGCTAACTACTTAGGAAAAAAAAAATCAAACCAAACCAGAAACAACTTCATAAAACTTGTAGTTACGTGATAATTTAAATCAAGCGGCACCTGGTTTACCACAGAGAGCATTCATTTCTTTAAAAATGTCACAGCAAATAGCAGAGGTTAAATTACTCATTCCAGAAAAAAATCACCGTCAGACTCTATTTTGAACAATAAACTAATGGTATGGGCTAAGGCAATGCACATTTTGAGATGGAAGAAATTATACATAATTTGGGATGCAATTTAAAGTGAAACCTTCAAAGTCGTTGGGCAGGGTGTATCAGAGCAGGGATACTGGAACAGTATTTTATTCTGTTTGAAATCTCTAAGCACAAAGAATTAGAAGATCTGGGCACAAAACTACGAAAACTGTCATCTGCCAGTCATTATCAAATGTAGCTCAGATGATTGAACAAGAGGATGAAACCACCGACTGACAACTGTCTAAATTATGTCAGTGGTTTTTACCCTGCTCGCTAAAGGGACATACTGGGAAAGAGTCCATACTAAGGAAAGTCCCTGCACACATTTGGCCAGCAGGAAAGAGTGGAGTGGTGACACTCAGGATCATCAAAGCTGGGGTGAAAGAGGGACTGGCTGTGGTATGCTGTGCTAATTTCTGGAGAACATCTGCACAGTAGGTAATGAGAACAATAAATTGCTCTTACATTTGTTTCTTATGCCCAGCTGCCAAGTTCTTCCAGAAAAAGGCAGATAACATAATCCTTGCTGTAGTCAAAATACAAAAAAATCTTGACACATGATTTTACCTATGAGTTGAGTATGAGTGATTTTACCTATGGTTGAAAAGCAGAATGGAGAAATACTCTATCTCCTGGGCCACAACCAGACTCAGAGAAGAAAAAGCGAGAAAATATTTCTGAGTGTCACACACACAAGTTGTCTCATGGTGTTGATTTTACAGCAGGAGAAAACCCAGTTAATGTAAATTAACTAAATGTTGTTACTTTTTAATGTTTGCTCCAAACTTTTCCCATTTTTTGCTTACTTCCTATGCTAATCTTCTTATTTACCCATCTCTCTCTTATAACACATGCATATTCATATGAAAATTCATCCCCAGTCAACTTCTCCCCCATCCTGCAAACAGCTCATAATATCAACAGCACTGAAAGAGGAATTTTTTGCTATGTTGTAAAATATGAATCCACTATTTTGACAGCAACAAATCATAAGTATCAATTTGCAGGAGCATTTAATGAGAATATGGGGAATAATCTGCCTCATTAATCTTCCATTCCAGTGGAAACCAGTTTTCCCTTCCCTTCCTTTCCCTTCCCTTCCCTTCCCTTCCCTTCCCTTCCCT